CCTCCCCCTGGCCCCCCGACGTATATCTGCACACACGCTCACATGCACCTCCCTCTCCCCCCAACAAAGCATCTCCTTATCATTGAGGATATCGTCGACACCGGGCGAAGTGCGATCGCGCTGCTTGAGGAGCTTCGTCGCACGGAGCCCGCATCCGTGCGCTTTGCCTCGCTCCTGCTGAAGAAGTCCCCACATTGGAATGGCTTCCGGCCGGACTATGTGGGCTTCATCATCCCCGATGCCTTTTTGGTGGGCTACGCGCTGGATTACAATGAGCACTTCCGTGATTTGGACCACCTGTGCATCCTCAATGACGAGGCCAAGGCCAAGTACCAGGTGTCCTTGACGAGCAATCCGATGGCTGCCCTGCTGATGTCTGGTCAGGCCGCTGCCGTGGCCGGTGTGCCATCGTCCTCGGTCTCTGCGCATGGCCTGTCCATAGGCGGGGGGATGGCCGGGTCCGGGGTTGGCGGAGGGGCCACCCTGGCCCACCTGGCCACCGCCTCGGCTGCCTTTGCTCGTGCCTCCCCCACCCCGGGTGGTGTTACCACCGTTCAGGGTGTCCACCGGACCCTGCTGTCACATGCAGCCGCCGCCATCAAGCCTGTCGGTTTGGCCACCCTCCCGGTCAGCGTCACACGGTCCCCCTCGCCGATTACCACCTCGCCCATGGCAACCCCTGCGGCTGATGCTCCCGGCGGCGGCGTCTCGCCCGGTAGCCGGATGACCCCTGGCACCGAAACCGCCCCTGGCGGCGGCGGCGGCACCACCACCGCCACCGTTGAGGACACCGAGATGTCCATGAACGAGTCAACCGCCTCGGCTTTGCTACTTCTCCCTTCATCGATGCCGGCGGTTTCCTCCCCCGCCACGGGCACCGAGAACCGCGTCACGGCGCCCACCACCTTCACTGGACCCACCCTGCTTGGCCCGTCTGTCGCCTCGAGCGCCTCGCGATCCGGCACTCCTGGTGGCGGTCCCGGGGCGTGAGCTTCAGTCAGGAGACTCCTTTGCTCTTCCTCCTGGCCACTTCCGTCGCCCCTCGACCTCCCTTTTCTCCCCCTCCTCTCACCATCCGCCATCCGGCCTTCACATTTTCCTGTCCCCTGGAATCCGCTCGTGTCATCGTCTTCGCTCCTCCCCCCCTCTCCCTGCCGTGCACTTTGCATCACCTGTATATTATCCATCACATGCGAGACCGCGCCCGGATCCTCGGCCTTTCCTTCACCCTATTTTACTCTCTCTCTCTCTCTCTCTCTCTCCCCCCCCCTCTCCTCCTCTTCCTCAGCCCCTCTCTTCTTTCTTAAGAGGAGGGCCTCTCCTGCACTGCAGCTCGCATGTTCTGTGCCCTCCTCCTCCCCCCCCCATCCTCGGTCATGTTCAGCGGGTTTCCTACAAGAAGACCCCCCCCCCTACACCGACCAGGGTCACTCCTTGTACAGTTATCGATAAAGGAATTACCATCCCCTGCTTTCGTTGCATGTGTGTCATCCCGGCGTTCTTTTCTCCATTCACCCTCCCTCTCATTCGCTTTTCGCTCTGCCTCCAAATCCGTCGTGTCTTCATTTTCACCGTGCTCTGCCGGGGCGGCATCCAGCGAGAGCATGATCGCTCACAGACCGCGGGGCACCCACACGCGGGCGGGGGGGGGGGGGGGGGTAAAGGGGGACGTGCATGTGTACTCCGGCTGGAGCAGATCGAGTGGATGCACCCACGGTCACATGATACACATTCGGTTATTTTTCAAATCGTTTCCGTCAGTTGGGTGTTGGTTGTCGCGCGACCTTTGGCCAGCGGGTCTCCAGCATGCGCGGCCGAAAACGCATGGAAGTTCTCTTTCACGGCCATTAGGCACATCGTGTAGGTGCGTGCGAATGCACTTGTGTGATCCGCATCTCCCATTGTAGTCCACCTTTTCCACGCCCCAGCCCTCTCAAAGAAGTGGCCGTGCGCGTGTGCGTGTACGGACGGGGGGGGGGGCGGGGGGGGGGAAAGGGGGGGGACTGGGGGGGGGGGGGGGGGGGGGGGACATAGGGCCAGGATGAATGTCTTGGTCCGGCGTTCCGGGAAGTGGAAACCGTCTTTTGTTGTGACAAGGACTTCCGGGTTCCCTTTCCCGGGGGCATTCGAATGGTCATTTTTAGATTGCCCTCCTCCGCGGCGGCCCTCCGCGAGGCCTACCTCCATCACTCTTCTTGGACGCCATTCCTGCTTTGCCACCCCCTCGCACTCTCTCCGCACGCGGCCCCCTTCCTTCCTCCTCCACTTCCATACCTCCTTGTTCCTCTCCCCTTCTTCCTCCGCTCCTCCTCCTCCCCCCCCCCCCCCCCCCCCCCCCCCCCCCCCCCCCCCCCCCCCCCCCCCCCCCCCCCCCCCCCCCCCACACCCCCCCCCCCCCCACAGAGCGCGTGCATTGGCCGGGAAGCGCCTCCCCTCTCGCCGCACCGAGGATGACCTCCTTCGATCTCCAGGAGGAAGTCCGTCGCCTCCAGGAGGAGGGCGTGGATAACTATTCTGCCACCCACCTAGCCATTCCCGGCTTCTGTGTCTCCGACGACCACAGCCTCGAGGCCCGCCTCAATGGTACGTCCCTGACACCTCTCCCATTTGGCAATGTACGCTTTCCAACTTACACCCCCTGCTGTCCTTTCCCCCGGGCTTCCTCTCCCTGTCCGACAGAGCTCGTTGACGTCCTCGAGTCGGATCCCTGCACCCTCAATGACCACAGCCAATACTGCCTGCTGGCCGTCGTTGTCAAGTATGTCCTGTCGCCTGCCTGTGATCCCCTTAGCCCGATCTGACCAATGACGGCCCTCCCCAGGAACCTGGCCGAACTTCGCTCCGAACGGCAGCACCAGGTGTTCGGGATCCTGACTTCGGGTGCGTTGTTTGGCCGTCGCTTTCCCATAGCCCACACCTCATGCTGACCCCCCTCCCGTCTGTCGCTTTGTGTGCAGGCATCCGCAAGGGCACCGATGCCGCCAAGTACCAGCTTGCCCTGTCCAATCAAACTGCCGGCGAAGCGACTGATGCCTACACAGAGCTCCTGGAACGTCTGCTCTTTCTGGCCCAGTGGGCCATCCGCCTGGTCGAGAACAATTACTCCCCAGGCGGCGGCACAGGCGCCGGGCCTACCACCGGGGCCGGGTCGGCCGCAACCGGGGGCTCGCGCGCCGGCGCCCGGCCCCGGGGATCTGGCTCTCGGGCCCAGTCGCGGGCGTCTGGCACCGGGGCCGGGCCCGGGGGTGACCTAACCGGCGCCGAGGCGGCCTGCTTCGCCGAGATCACCCGCATGATGGGCCTCATCCCCCTGGAGCGCCTTTGGCCGATGCCCCCTCGGCGACGCCTCATTGTCGACCTCCTGACAGCCCCAATCTACTCGCTGTTCGCCCGGCCAACGGCTCTGCAGCACAAGAGCCTGCGCGGCGCCATGTTCCTGGTTCTGGCCGAGTGCATCATCCGCTACAATCACAACTCCAGTATGTGCCTGCTTGGGCCTGAGTGGTGTCCTTCCCCCCCCCCCTTTTTTTTTACCCGTACTCTCCGATCATGCTTTCTGACATGGCATTTGCCTTCCCCGCGTGTGCCATGGCGCTTCCCGCAGTGGCCGTCTCCTCGATCATCCAGCTGCTGACGTACTTCTCTCACACGTCCGAGCCATTGGCCCAGCTCGTGGCCACTCTCGTGGAGAAGGGCAAATGGCACAATACTCTCAACGATATTCTCTTGGAAATCTGCCGGCTGAATTTCACCGCGACTCAGGAGAATGTCAAGCACTTTGCTGTCTTCCTCACATCACTGGTGGAGTTCGCTCCGCATGCGGTTGCCCCACGCCTGCCCTACCTGATTAGCCAGCAGATGGACTCGCCTGTGCGTGGGGATCCTCCTCCTTCTCTGATTCCTCCCCGCGCAAGCAGATGAGACGCTGACCCCCCCCCCCTCCCCCCCTCTTTCCCCCTTGTGTATGGCGCACTTTGCCCCCCTTTGCAGGCGTACCAAATGCGTCAGGCCATGGCCGAGGTTATCGGCTGTGTCACCGAGTACCTGTTGAACAATCCCCCCCCGGGATACGACCCCAGCAACGAGCAGGGCGAGGCCACCGGCTCGGCGCCCTGCGAGCTGTCGGCCACCGAGCAGCTGGTCGATGAGCAGCCGGCCGACGAGGCGAGTGCCCCGTCGGCACCGGACTCGGCCGCTGAGGAGGGCACTGGCGAGACTGCCTTGGCTGCATCGTCCCCGCCGGGAGGCGACATCGCGGATCTGATTGTCGATGAGACTGCCGAAGAGGCGGCCACCCCTGGCGAGGCGGGTGACGGCGAATCCCCCGAGGGCCCCGCGGCCGGCACCATCTCGCCGGCTCTGGCTCTGACCCGATACCAGCGCGATCTGGAGGACTTCCTGCACATCATCGAGCAGCGCTTCATGGACACCAGTTCCTTCGTTCGGTCACGCATTGTCCTGTGGGCCGGGCGGCTGATGGGCAATCGCCGGCTGCCGCCGACGCAGCGGGCTCGCTTCGCCGAGGCTGTCTACAGCCGGCTGATGGATCGGTCGAGCATCACCCGGCGGTCTGGCCTGCAGACCCTATGCCGGCTCTTGGCGCAGGTGAATGGTCCGGCCGATGTGGCGGTAGTGGCGCGCCATGGCCCGCTGTCGCCGGCTCTGGCCCGCAGCCTTGAGCGCATTGACCAGGTGTTTACCGATGCCGTGGAGCATGCGGTCCTGATGCTCAACTCGTCCTTCAAGACCGATGTCATCGAGGCCATTTCGCTCATTGTGGCGGCCTGGGAGCATGGGGTGTCGGCCTCGCGCGCGGCCGCCCGCAGCATGGTGCACCTGGTGTGGGCCCGCCACATTGACCACTCTCCGGCGCCAACCGGGTCGGCGGATGCCGAAGAGTCGGCCGGGGGGTCTGGATCCTCGGCCTCCGGCAAATCGGTCAAGGATCACCTGGTGGATGCCTACCTGAAGTTGTACTTCTCCCCGTCGCGGGCCCTCGCTCCGCTGGAGTCCGCGGCGCATGTTGTCCGTGGTCTTTTTGGCTTGGTCAATGAAATGACCTCGGCCGAACTGTCCTCCCTGGAGGAGCTCTTTGTGCTGATCAACGAGCGCAATGTGTCGGCTCGCACGCAGATCCTCCCACGCGACATGGAGCGTGTTCTTTGGACGTATTTCACATCGTCGCTGCCGGATGCCGGGCCAAATGCGCCGGATGTCAACCTCCCGGAGTTCCGCCGTTGCTCCATCATCATCCTCAGCATGCTGGCCCACACCCCATCCCAGGCGGCGGATATGTTCCTCCCTCGACTGGAGGCCATCAGCCAGGTGGGCCTGGCTGCTGGCCGGCCCGAGTCGATGACCACCACCCCCGCCACTGGCACCGGCATCCTCCCTGAGGATGGCGGGGCTCCCCCGATGCCGGGCCCGACTTTGGCGGTGGCCGATCCGCTCTTGGCGCGGTACTCCTGCATTGCCTTGCAGAAGCTCAACCCCAGGCTTACCTCTTCCAAGCGGCAAATGATTTCGGCCATGGCAGCCGCCGCCTCCTCCTCCTCGGCGGCATCCGGGGCGTCTGGTGCTTCTAAACGCCGGCGGAATGCCTCCAATCAAGCCCCGATGAACTTGGGCTTTTCGCGTTTCGCTCCGGACCACTTCCTGGCGCCGCGCCTGGCCGAGATCATCTACGACTTCTCGACCCCGATCAACAACTGGTTTGTCCCGACTGCCTCCACCCCTCCTCCCTGCCCCTTCCTCGCGGTCTCTTCTTCTCGCCTTCACTTTCGCTGGGCACCGGTGCCGATGGGGCTTTTCTTTCCCACTGACACCCCCGCTGCTATGTCCGGCGCTGCTATTGCCACTCTCGGCGATGTTGCCGGTCAGGATGGTTGTGGTCGAACAGGCGATTGGCTGCGTCTACCAGCTCTTCGAGCATCCCGACATTATCATGGGCCAACTGATCAAGATGATGACGAGCGCGGTGTTTGTTCTCTCCGACCGGCCTGGGTCGGCCTCGGCCTCGGCCCCGGCCTCGGCCTCGGCTGAGGCACACCTCACCGACGAGCGGGCAGCTCCGAGCACGGACTTGTGCGTTCCCTCCCCCCTCCCTCCCCCCGGATTGCCGCAGTCCGCCGCCTGCCCCTGTTCCTCCTCCTGCGTCTTCTGACCACCCCTTCCACTCGAGGACAGCACGAATCTTTCGGAGGACTCGCTCAGCCGCCTGCTCTTTGTGGTTGGCCATGTCGCGCTCAAGCAGATCACTCACTTGGAGACGATCGATCGGAATTGGAAGCGCGCACACTCCGCTGCCAAGGACCGAGGTACGGGGGCTGTTGTGTTTTTCTTTTCTCCCCCTTTCTCCTCACCGTCCCATGTGTCACTTTGTCTTTTGTTGGTCGACACATCCCTCACCATCTCTACCCTGCCTTCTTTTGTCCCCTCCCTCGGCCTCCGTAGCCAAGAAGATCGGCCAGGATGCCAAGCTTCACGATGAGAAGGAGCGCAAGAAGCGCCAGCGTCAGTCCAAGGGGGATCTCCAGCCGCCCGGCACGCCCGGGGCTCTGCTCAGCTCCAGCGGCAATGACGGGGCCCGTGACTCGCCGGCGGTCGCGGCTCAGAAGGCTCGCCAGCGCCTGTCTGTCCGGCAGTCGATGCGCAAGTCCGAGGGGCCGGCTGCCGGGATCGAGGATGACCTGGAACAGGTTTCCTCGACCGGCAATGCTGAGGATGACTTTGCCGACACCCTGTTGATTGTCCGCGAGGATGAGCTGCTCACCGGGCCGCGCTCGCTGCTGAGCGTCTTCGGGCCGATTATCGTGCAGATCTGCCAGCAGAACCGCACCTTTGATGTGCGTACTGGTGCTCTACCTTGGCCCTCCCCCGCGGGGAACTGTCAATCACCCTCTATGCTTCATTGTTGCTTTGTCTCGCTCCCTCTCTCTGACCATCTTCCCTTCCCTCGTCTCTCTCTCTCTCTCTCTCCCCCTCTTTGCTGCCTGCAGGACGAGGTTCTCCAGCAGACAGCTGTCTTGGCGCTCTGCAAGTTCATGTGTGTTTCGAGCGACTTCTGCGCCTCGAACCTTCAGCTGCTTTTCACCATCCTGGAGAAGTCCCCGGACGAGATCATCCGGAGCAACATCGTCCTGGCCGTTGGAGATATGCTCATTTGCTTTAACAAGTGCGCTTCCGAGAGGAGAAAAGAAAGAAGACAAGCCTGCGACCGTCGCACTCCCCCGCCCTCTCCCGCCCTCCTTGTCCTGTGTCCCTCCCCCCGCGGACTTCGCTAACATGTGCGCCCGCACGCAGCATTGTCGGTGAGAATATCGAGCACATGTACTATCGCCTGTCGGACCGTTCGCTCACTGTCCGCAAGAACACGCTGATGGTCCTCTCGCATCTGATCCTCAATGGAATGGTTCGTGCACGATACCGTGGGGGGGGGGGGGGGGGGTGTCACTCCGCTTGTTTCGCGTGGGCCGCCTTTTGCTGATTTGCCTCTCTCCCCCCCTCCCCCCCTGTCATCTTCCAGATCAAGGTCAAGGGCCACATCGCCGACATTGCTCTGCTCACGCTGGATCCTCATGGCGGAATCTCCTCCCTGGCCAAGGTGCGCTCCTACCTGCATGTCCTCAGGCACATTGGCCTGCATCTCGCACCGCCTCTCTGACCCTCCTCTCTGGCCCCTGCCCACCCTCTCCAGCTCTTCTTCTCCGAGCTGGCCACCAAGGATAATTCCATCTACAATAATATGCCAGACATGATCAGCAACCTGGCTCTCGGGAACCGGAATCTCCCGGTCGAGGACTTCCGCAAGGTGGCGCGCTTCCTGTTGAGCTTCGTCACGCGCGACCGGCAGGCGTCGAACCTGGTGTCGCGCCTGCGTGCCCGGGCGGCCACCGTGGCCACGGACCGCCAGCGCGAGGACCTGGCCTTCTGCATCAGCCAGCTGGTCAAGGACAAGGCTGCGGCGGATGAGATCATCCGGTCGCTTCTCGGATCGACCGACGCGATGGCTGAGGCGGCCGATTCCACCGAGCCAGCCGTGCTGGACCCAGTCACTGGGAGTCTCGACGCCGCTGCTGTCCCGGATGCCGAGACTGATGTTGGTCCGGCTGCCGGGCTTGCTCTGCCGCTGGTGGAGCCTGGCTCGGGCGTGAGTGACCCGGACATCGGCATCGAGCATGGGCCCGGCAAGAAGCCCAGCCGGTCAGTGACAATCATCTCGCCGATGTCGGATGATGATGATGACGACGACGACGATGACGACTCCTCGAGCTCTTCCTCCCCGTCGGACTCGGACTTGGACTCGGAGTCGGACTTGGACTCGGACGCCGAGCCCGGACTTTTGGCCTCCGCCCCGCACCCGATGTCCCCCTCTTTCATGGGCATTCGCCGGGTGCAGGGCCTCGGCTCGCCAGTGCCTGTTACCCCAGGCCGCGGATCGGAGGCCATTGCCTCGGCGGCCTTCTCCTTCCAGGCTCGCTCGGCCGCTGCCGGGAGACGCGCCCCCGGGCTCGGCGAGTGTCCGTCCACAATGCAGCTTCTCCATAGCCCGGCCAATGGGCTGGCGGCTGGTTCACCGCAAACTCCGCTGGTTGGCGGTGCGCACCTTCTGGAGGCTGGCCTCCTGTCCCCAGGGTCGGGATCAGTGCGCCGGCGTCTGCGTGATCCGGAGTCTCGGCAGAGCATCCTCAATTCCGGCGGTCACCGCCGGAAGCGGCGTCTCCTCGATCACTCGCCCACCACCACCGAGGAGGATCCGGACGACCAGGCCATGCGCTCGGCCGAGAGCGACGACGAGGAGGATGCCAACTAGCGCATCCGGCCGCAGTGTGAAGGAGAGCACCCCACCGGGGCGCCTCTTTTCCCCTCCTCGACATGGCAAAATATACACACATAGATTTCCAGCAGCATCCCACACGACAAAATGCAGCCCGCCAAACACTCATGCATGGGCCCACGGATGATG